CTCCCTCAGGGAACCATGGCGGAGAAGATCCTGGTGACCGGCGGAGCTGGCTACATCGGCAGTCACTGTGTGCTGGAGCTGGTGGAGGCTGGCTACGTCCCCGTGGTCATAGACAACTTTCACAACGCCATCCGAGGTACGGAGAGCCTTCAGCCCTTCCCGTGCGAGGGGGTCAGACCCCTTCAGCCTGGGCTTGAACCTCCAGCTGTCCCAGCACCTCAGCCCCTTCCATCTCCCCAGGGGCAGACGCGCTCCCTGAGAGCCTCCGGCGTGTGCAGCAGATCGTGCGCCAGCCCATCCTTTTCCAGGAACTAAATATCACCGATGAGGCAGCGCTGCAGGAGCTCTTCAGTCAGGTGAGAGCAAGGGCCCCAGGGTGGCCTTGTGGGATCCAGGGGATGGGAGAGGTTTGTGTGGGAGGTGAGGTCAGGGAGGGAGATGTGGACTGGGCAGGAGCTGAGCAGGACGGTGCTGAGGAAACACTGCAACCAGCAAATAGTCCCTGCCTGAATGAAACTCCTGGAGAGACTCCTGACTGGTTTCTGCATGGAGCTTTTATCTGCTATTGCTGTGGCACTGGTGCCAAACTCTTTCTTCCTCTGCAGCACCGTTTCTCAGCCGTGATGCACTTTGCGGGGCTGAAGGCGGTGGGAGAGTCCGTGCAGCTCCTGGAGAGACTCCTGACTGGTTTCTGCATGGAGCTTTTATCTGCTATTGCTGTGGCACTGGTGCCAAACTCTTTCTTCCTCTGCAGCACCGTTTCTCAGCCGTGATGCACTTTGCGGGGCTGAAGGCGGTGGGAGAGTCCGTGCAGAAAAAAAATGAACCTCACGGGGACCATCCGGCTGCTGGAGGTGAGCAGAGCCGAGAGGGGGCAGCGTGTGGCACTCGGGGCCGCATGGGTGCTGGGTGACTGGTGCTGGGAGCGATCCTGCGCTGGGGTGGCTGTGCTGGCTGGCAGGCTGGTCTCCACGGTGCTCCCCGTGCCCGGGCGCTGTTCCAGGGGCCGCACAGCTGTGCTGGAGGGTGCAGTGGAGCTCGCTGGCTCAGCGGCAGCTCGTCCCTGCTCCCCAGACCATGAGAGCCCACGGCGTGAGGAACATCGTGGTCAGCAGCTCTGCCACCGTCTACGGAGACCCCAGGTACCTGCCCCTGGATGAGAACCACCCTGTTGGAGGCTGCACCAACCCCTACGGCAAATCCAAATACTTCATTGAGGAGATGATTCAAGATCTCTGCAAAGCAGAGAAGGTGAGGAGCTGCCCCAAGGCGTGCGGGGCTGGGAGCTGAGGTTTTTCCTACTGGAGTGTGCTGGGGTGAGCAGGCAGTACTGGACAGCACTACACCCTACCCAGTCAGCCTCACTTGTGTGTTTCCCCAGGACTGGAACGCTGTTCTCCTGCGCTATTTCAACCCCATCGGTGCCCACGAGTCAGGCATGATCGGAGAAGATCCTCAGGGGATCCCAAACAACCTCATGCCCTACGTGGCGCAGGTACCACCCCACTGCAGCCTTGGAGGACCCCTGGGCTCGCAGTGCTTGTGTGGGGCACAGGCTGACGGGGAGCTCATGGGCTTGTCCCTCTGTGCAGGTGGCAGTGGGGCGCCGAGAATTCCTGAGCGTGTTTGGGAACGACTACGAGACGGATGACGGAACGGGTGCGTCGCAGAGCTGAAGCAGAGAGTCTCTGGGGCAGCCGTCGCCAGCTCCTCAGCCTGGCTGCAGCACGGGCAGGAGGGATTTGTGCTCAACCTCTGTGTCCCCACAGGCGTCAGGGATTATATCCACGTTGTGGATTTGGCCAAGGGCCATATCGCTGCTTTAAAGAAGCTCAAGGAGAACTGTGGCTGCAAGGTACCGGGGGATCGTCGGGGGTGCAGTCCGCCCTGTGGGGCTGGGCCAGGCTCTCACAG